GTCCTCCAGCTCCAGGAGCTGCAGTCCCAGCCAAGGTGGAAATGCAGGAGGAAGCTGCAGCCACGGAGGAGGAGCGGGCAGAAGCGACGGCGGCACGCTCCCGGTAGCCCGGGCCCTGAAGGCGCGGCCCACGGGCAGGTTGAGCGTTATCTAAGGAGCTGCCCCGCCCCACCCCTCTCACTCCCTCCCTTAACCCGCCTCCCTTGCCTGTCCCTGCCCAGGCCCCGCCCAACCCCACCTGGCCCCGCCCAGGTCCCCGCCCTTTCCGCCGCCGAGCCACTTCCGGGACCTCAAGCACGCACAGCCACGGTATTTGAGGAATGCACATCTGGACAGAAGGTAGGTTTACCCTGTGAGTTTGAGAATGCTTTGAATGCAAAAGTAGATATTTACAGGGCCTACATCTCCTTCAGCTCCAATGACTTACTCCACGGAAGCATCTCTAAATAAGATTAACCTGTCGTGGCTTCTATGGCATGAGAGTGGACCGTGGTGGTTGCTGTGTCTTGTATGGCTTTGTAGTTTGTTATTTATTGAGCAATTTTTGCTATAGGGCGTACACACTTGGCAGAGAGACAGAAAGCGAGAAATCACACCCTCCCCTGGGGAAATGGACACACCACAGTCCCTTCTCCAGTCTCCTCTCAGAATTTTGGGCACTCATGCACACGTGCCTGGCAAGAGTTTTAAGCCGTCAGATCTGGTCTTTGACCTCCGTCTAGTATGTGGAAGGCCAGCAAGATAACCATGATGGCATCTGCTGGTTTTGTGTTCATTTTTAAGGCACAAATGTAGGAGCAATGATTCCATATGCTGGAGGGAAGGAGAGCCACAGCAAAGTAATAGATGAGAATGTACATAAATATATCCTATGACATGTTAAAAATATGTGTATAACTTTAGATGTATATTACCTAATATTACTGGCTACGTGTCTCATTCCAAATGAAAGTTCCTTGAAAGTAGGAACATAAGTCATAGAGTTGATGGAATCGCCTCATAATAACTACAGTTGGCCTTGTAATTTGGAAGTGTATGAGGTTTAACAAGGCTTCAGTGAAGACCAGGCCCTTCCTTTGGCTTATTTCTGGAAGGAGAAATACATAGCAAAAAGAAAATTGAAAAAAAAAAAAAAAAAAAAGGAACATCTATTAAGGCAATTCAAGAACTACATGGTGAACAAGTAAATTTGTGTGCTTCTTATTTAATACCCCCAGTATAGAAATAACTATTACAGTTAACCCCCAAAAGCGATATTAACACTTCTCTCTTTCCCCCCAAATAATATTAGAATTTACCCTCATAATTAATAAACAGAATAGTCTACAGTTGTTCCATACCCCTTTCTTACCGTAGTTAAAAGGGAGATCAGTGTAAGTCACATGTGCCTTTTCTTACTTGGAAGAGCTAAGGATGATTAGCCAATGAGAGGAGAATTCATTATGAAGACAAGTTCAGAAAAACCTAATGGGCAAATATTTATCAGACCAACCTGTACAAGCAAATGAACTAGGATATTAACCAATGGAAAG